AGGAAAGAAATCTATTCTGATCAGTAAAAGTACTAAAAACATCTGCGAGAGCATAATCAAAATCATTAACTTCATTATTTTCACCAAAAGTCATATACATTAAATCACCTAAATATAACAACTTATCTCGAGTGAAAACATTAACTACATTGGTTTCACCATCAGCTACTGGAGAACAAAGAGAAGAAGTTAAAATGCCAATAGGAAAATCATCTCCACAACCAGGACTATCGGTATAAAGAGTAAAAAAACTGATCGTGCAATTCTTAGCAGTTTCACGATCCAGTTCATGCATCATAAGTATTGGATAGCCACCAAAAACTAAGGTTGTGTCGGAGTTGTCTTCTACTTCACTCGCGTTAGCTGTCATTCTTGACAACTGGTTGAATTCAATTTCAGTTTGATTATTAGAATTTTCATCTTTTCCCAAGCCAGAACCAACTAAACTCAACAAAAACAATGATTTAATTTTTTTATTATATTATATTTTACGGATGTGCTAACGGATAGGCTTATAAAAAAAATAAAAGATAGGTATTTTAACTATTAATTTTTAGACTTGCTAGGCGGTTTGCTCTGCTTTTTGACCAGTTGTTTTTCCAAGTCTTTGATTCTTTTTTCTTGGCGAGCATTTTCCTCAACCAACTTTAACGTGGTTTGGCGTCAACTTTCTAAGTAATCACCTAGTCCATCCTCAGCGAGGTTAACTCCTTTTTGTTCTAACATATTATGAAGTTCATTTTTCTCTAACTGTTTTTGCTGGGTTTTCGTTAGTGGTGAGGAGACTTTACCGCCAAAATAAGTTCGGAAGGTCCTTCTTTTTTTGCTGTCGGTGATGGAGTTTAGATAAACTAGTTTGTGATGGCGATATAAGTCAATTAGGCAAGAGTCGCACATGTATTGGTTTTGGTTTTTCTTTTGTCCGGTTCAATAACCTCAATTGTTTTTGTTGCTGTATTTTTGGCTGGGAGGGCAGAAGTTGACTACTAGTTTTTGCTGGCATTGGGAACAGTTAGTTTGGAAGGGGGGTTTGAGGGTGTACATGTGTATATAGTGATTTTTTTTTAAATATAATTCTGTTTTGGTCTTAAATATTTAAGTGATTTTAATCAATAACTATTATAAGTTTTTTGCAGAGCAGAAGAATGCTTTGATAATCATTCTTTTCAAACATTTCTTACAAATACCTAGACGCAATTAAATGTATCCCTGCTTGGGTCTGAGGTATTTTAAAGATTTAAGTCAATAACTGTTGTAGGTGTCTAGGTATTTCTTACCGACAAAAATAATAAATCCTTGTTCAGTTTTGCTGTTGGTTCAAGCTGCTGCTTCCCAAATCACACACTGAACATAAATTCCCTCATCAGTCTTTTGTAAAAGTGAGACTTGACAAATGGCGGTAGTAACTTCTCGTTGTTCAATACTGACTTGCCCTAAGCGTTGGGCATTAACGAACAATCGCGTTCCTTGATGCCGTGATAAGGCAATAAAATGCATTAAAAACCTCTGTCTTTCTCGGACATCCTGGACAATATTACCTTTAAACAATAAATTAATTTCATCTAAAAAGATGGTTTCAGTAACTCCTAATCGCTGACTAGGACAATGAGAAAAATCAATCTGTGCCTTTTCTGCTCACGGTAGATTACAAGGAAAAGTCGCATATTTATTTTCTCCCGGTAACTCGTGAGCCAACATGGCTAAAATGGCGGTCTTGCCACTACCAATCGAACCAAAAAAGACTAGTCCATTACTTTTAGTGCAGTAGTCTAAGAATTCCGGAGTATTATCTAAAATTAGTTGACCTTTATTTTTAAAGAGGGTTAATAATAAACCACCAACTAACATTCCTAAAGAAGCCCAAATAATAGTTCCTAAACAGAATTTCAATTTATCCAGCAAATTATGCAAAAAACTGCCTTCGGTTGGACGATAAAAGAGAAAGAGGAGAAAAAAAGGGATGATTAGGAGTGATTTGTAAGTTTGCAACAGTCCATAATAATCAAGCTTACTTTTTCTTTTTTTTGACTGTTCTTTTAGTGGTTGCTTGTTTTTCTTCATTGTCTAAATTAGGTTCTTGCTTCTCCTGATCCAAATCTACTGTCGCTTCTTCAGCAACTAAATTGACTGGTTTGCTTTTGTTCTTTTTCCTCTTCTCCTCCTTATCTCACTTGGTGATATCTGCTCCCTTAATTGGTTCCGTTTTTAAACC